CACACAAACACACACACACACTTACACACACAAAAGCCAATATACAATCGCAAATACAATAACAGACACACAAACACACAGTTTCCAACACACACATACTAATGTGCATTCGATCGCACATACACTAACAAAAACGAACAAATAAATGAATGCACGAACAAACAGACAATCAAATAAACACACATAGAAAAAACAAAAACACAAACACTCATAAGCAAGATCACACATGCATGCAAATCTAAACAAACAAATGTACACTTAAATGTACACACAAACACACACACACGCACGAATAAAAGCTATTATAAGCACAATTCAATTCACGTATATGTACTTTATTCTTATCCATTTGAATCTATATACATATACACACACAAACAAACATATATGCACATATATTCAGGGATTCAATCAGACGTAATGATAGAAGTTGTTAAGTGCTGCAAATATTAGTAGATATCTTCTAATCTTCCTTTATCCTCTTCACTTATATTCTACTCCGCCCTCTCTTTATCGTTCTCTCTCTTTTTATATTTTCTTTCTTTCTCGCTCTCTTTCTCTCTCTCTCTCTCTCTCTCTCTCTCTCTCTCGTTTTCTCTCTTTCAATTTTCTTATTTTCCATCTCCGTCTTTCTTTCTGCTCGAATGCATTAATGAAATCATGACAATACATCGTTAAAAAGAGCTCGGATCAACGCCCACTTTCTCTCTTTCTCTCTCTCTCTCTCTTTCTGTCATTTTTCTCTTTTTCTTATTTCTTTTTTCTCTATCTATCTGTCTCTCATTTCCTTCTTCCATCTAACTATTTCCGTTAACCCATTATTCATCAGATTGTTGTTGAAAATTGTTTTTAACTCCTAACTTTTTTTTACTTAGTTGCTTTTGTTTTCGATCTGTTTTCGTCTTTTTACTTCATTTTTTTTTGTAACTCGCATTTTTTTATTCTCTCTATTACCACAACTGCAACATACAGAGGAGAGCATGTTCACAAATTACATGTTCAGAGTTCTTGTAATGTAATCCTGTTTCGCTTAATTTAAAGTTGTGTGCGTGTAATGTGCGTGTGTGTGTTTGTATGTGTGCGTGCGTACGTGCGTGTGTGAGTGTGTGTGTGTGTGTGTGTAGCCAATGTAGCTACACGGGATGTTTTATCATGTTTACTATAGGCCTCACATTGTTGAAAGATTTAAAAAATTTATATTATAAAACTAAAAATACTGAATACTCTTGTGCAGCTGGAAAATGTATGTATTCATTCATTTGTTCGTTCATTCGTTCGTTCATTTGTTTGTTCATTCACTCATCCGTTCATTCATTCATCTATTCATTTGTTCATTCAATCATTCGATCGTTCGTTTAGTGGTAGTAAACCAGACGAATGAGAAAAAAATTAGCTCAGTAAACAAACAACATAAACAAACAACAACAATATGAACAAACAACGATGTGAACAAACAACAACACGAACAAACAACGAACAACAAACGAACAAACAACAACACGTACAAACAAACAAACAACACAAACAAACAACAGCATGAACAAAGAAACATAATAAAGACAAACACAACAGATATAAACAAGAAATAAAAAATTTAAATCAAGAATTAGTATAAAGAAAAAAATTAATAGGAATAATTTATATTTTTAAATTAATAAATACAGAAAATATGAAGAAAATAATAAAATCTTAGAATTAGTTTTCATTAAATGCAAGCAGATGTTTTATTTTTATGAGCAGTACCTACCCCACCACGCTAAGAGTCTGTTTGCTCAGAGAATTAAAACCGTTTGTGTGTATAAACGTGAGTGTGCATGTAGTGTTTGTGTTAGTACTTGTGTGAGTTGTTTGTGTCTGTGTGTGTTTGTGTATGTATGGATGAATGTATGTATGTATGTTTGTATGTATGTATGTATGTATGTATGTATGTATGTATGTATGTATGTATGTATGTATGTATGTATGTATGTATGGATGGATGGATGTATGTATATATGTATGTGTATATAAGTGTCATTATCGGTGTTAAAGTGTTTTTGAGTGTGTCTGTGATTGCATGCGTGTATTGTGTTTGGGATTGTTAGTGTGTGTGTATTTGTGTGCGTGCAAGTGTGTGTATTTTTATGTCAATGTGGTTGTGTGTGTTTGTGTCTTTGTGAGTTTTGATATTTATCGCTGCGTGCAGATGTTAAAACGGCAATTTATTATATTAGATTGATATTGACAAGAGATGGAATATAAAAAGCTTATTAACATCATAACCCCTATTCTTCGTTGTTGTTGCTGCTCTGTGACATAATCAATTAATTATACATAATTAATTAATTAATTAATAATAATTAATTAATTAATAATAATTAATTAATTAATAATAATTAATTATTAATAATTAATTATTAACATTATAAACCCTATTCGTCGTCGTTGTTGTTGTTGCTGTGACATTATAATCAATTAAACATAATTAATTAATTAATTATTAGTTCAATAAATGTAAGAATTGTTATTAGTTTTAATGATGCTGATCGTTACATCAAAAAATATGCAATTCTATTTGGTTTCATTTCGCCACTCTTATAACTAATCTTATAATTTAGTGAAACAATAATATGGTATTGTTAGAACAAAAATTTTACTTCATAAATCAAACGAATGAACGTTTGGTTTTTATATTGCAGTGAAGGAAACATTTTATAAAACCAATAAAATGAAAAATACCAAAAAAAAATCAATGACCAAATAAAAAACAGGGGAGAGGGAAGAAAAGATGTCCTGGTTATGACATTAAACTGACCCTCACTGCCTTGTGAGTGATGTTGGATCATCAAAGGCTAGGCCCACCGCTTATAACTGTGGTTGCGTAAGGAAGGGCGTCCTGCGTAAAAATTAGCCAAATAAATTACTTATGATGGAATGGCGTCGAGGGGTATTTCGGTTTCATCATAGGTAGCCAAACGGCAACCCCCGATCTCGGGGAAAATGTCGTCTAAACGTGTGTTGTTGTTGTTTGGAGAGGGAAGAAAAGAATGATAATTAATCAATGAGTAAATTTTATAGAACGTAGTTTACCAAATAAATTTTCAGGTAACATGTTCATAGACTATCATCGATTGCTAAAACATACAGGACCAAACAGACAGACAAAACCAAACAAACAGACAGGCTGACACACACAGACAGACAAATCCACACACACACACACACACACACTTTTTAATTCATTAAATATAATAATAAAAACAAATTTTTTTTTTTTGGTATAAAATCTCTTTTCTATTCATTTCAAATTTGTTAAAACATCGTATTTTTTTTAAATTTAGTAACTCTAAAATAACAAAATACAGATAAGAACTGCGTATCGTTATACTTGTGTTCTCGCTAATGATGATGATGAAGACGACGATGATGGAGATGGTGAAGACAAAAATAAGGATGATGATGAAGATAAAGAAGATGATAAAGACGATCTAAATGGTGATGATGAAGATGAAGAGCCAGATGAACATGATGAAGATGACGAAAATGATGATGGGGATGAAGAAGAAGATGATAAAGATAATGTAGATGGAGATGATGAAGAGCTTGACGAACATGATGAAGATGAAGAAAATGATGATGAGGATGAAGATGAAGAAGTAGATGACATTCACGGGGATGGCAATGTTGATATAAGAATAAGAAGGATTAAAACAAAACATATTAATGAAGATAATGATGATTGATAGAGACACAGATGACGGTGATGATGATGACGACGATGACATCTCCAAGGTTATACAGCGCACATACACTCACGAATGTATACATAGATACTGTACGTGTACATAAACAAACATCTCGCTACACGCACGCACGCACACATACACAGACGAAAGCACAAACACACAGAAAGTTTCAATATACAAACGCACGTAAAAAGACAAGAAACAGAAACGCAAAATACATCGACAAAAAGCTATACATTTAAACATAAAAAATGTAAAAAACACAAACACACACACAACAAAGAATAGAAACGCACACAAACACACACACACAAACACACACACAAACACACAGTCACACAAACGTTACTAAAGTTACGAACACATTTTACGATCTAAATTTAGATTATATTTGCTGGTGCGGGTAATCCAAGAAGATAATGTCTTAATAAGGCCGACGAGATTTTACTACGTTATATTTCACATGGAACGCACACTTTCACGCGCATAAATTCGCATCACATACGCCCACATACATTCACGTACAGACACGCACGTACACATATTTTCACATATATTCACGTACACACACACACACACTTACAAATAGACAGATGCCAAGATTATTAAGTTAACATACACACCCATATTTACGTTCACACACGTACATAAATATTCGCACGCACACACACACACGCGCGCGCGCGCGAACAAAAAAAAGTACATACACACAATAAAAATTCACACAAATGCAATCATATGCACACACACGAATTACCGCACACGATCACGCAAAAAAACGTACCACACTCGTATTTAGTTTTAACAACTTTACACGCAGACACGCACACACACACACAAACCCACACACGCACACTCGTGAAATAATCGAATGTTTTATAAAGATTTTTCTGTTTCAAATTTTTATCAATGCAAAACTTCAACGTTATCTCTTAGTGTTTCTGTGAAATGGCTTCTTTGATGTAAACCTCTCTAGCAGTCATAATTTAAATAATAACAATAAAAGTAATATTAATAACAATAAAAATAAAATCAACATTAATTTAAAACTAATTCACGTAAATAACTGACGCGCCGAAATAGTTAAACAACAACAAAGATAATAAAAAAAACAATTCATAATAACAATAATTATGATAGAACTACTACAACTAATAACAATAATTATAATAATAATAAAAGGAAGAAGAATAACAATAGTTCAAATAACTACGTAATTGTGAATAAAGAAAATTATGGAAATAAATAAATAAAATATCAGAAGGAAGAAAGTCACATGGCATGACATAACTGGCAGATCAAACGTCATCAACGCCATCGTCATCATCATCATCATCATTATTATTATTACCATCGTCATCATCATCATCATCATCATCATTATTATTATTACCATCGTCGTCATCATCATCATCATCATCATTATTATCACCATCGTCATCATCATCGTCGTCGTCGTCATCACCATCGCTTATGTTATTATCATACTATTTTTTCTTATCACCAAGAGAGCAGTTGTCCTTTTAATTACTCTAACAATCACAATTATAATTAAATTACTACCACTACTACTACTCCTACTGCTACTGCTGCTACTACTACTGCTGCTGTTACTGCTACTACTAGTATAATATTAATAATATATGCTTTAACTTTTTTAACTACTACTTCTTAGATCTAAACAAATAATAAATGCAAGTGTTGTTTTAATGGGCTGAGTAACTTTTTGAGTAAAACAAAGAGAATCATTTTGTGATTAGACGGCGACCTGGTAGCTCAGAGGTTAAGTGCGTTGGATTCTATCATAAAGTGACTGGTATCAAACGCAGGAATTTTTTCGCGCGCAAGTTCACAAAGTTTGAGTGCCATTTATTAGTAAATACATTTGATTTTTATAGTAACAAATACACATCTTTGTGTGATTAACTAATACTTTGGATTTTAATCATAAAAAAACATTGGTTTTTAATTATAAAAAAAAACACCTTGGATTCTTTTTGCTAAAGGTACATGTGCATCAACAATAACAATAAAATGAATTTAGAAATAAATAGCAATATTAATAGAGCACTAGATAATAAATAATATTTTCTAATAACAATGTCTGACGAAAGCACCAAGTCAGTCAGGATCAATGAAAATTGAAGTACATTCATCAACGCTAATTAATCTAGTGCTGAGCTGGTGCAGCTTACTTATTCCTTCACCTAATTTTCATCCACATTAATGAACTAATTAGTTAATTAATTCGATGATACGGCTAATGAATTGAATGGTTATGCGAAAAAGAAATAATAAAAGTGACATAAAAAATATATTTATGTGGGCAACTTTCTCCATTAAAACCTGATATCAAATCTGACAATTAGATTGCCAAGATGGTGGCGAAAAGTTTCAGAAACGAAAGAGAAATTAAAAATAAAAAATGCTTTAACAGCAACCTCAACAAAAAACTTGGATAGAAATAAAGCAAATAAACAAAGAAAAACAACAAAAAACAACAAAAACCAACAACAACCAACAACAACCAACACAAACCAACCACAACCAACAACATCAACACGCAACAACAACAGCAGCAGCAACAACAACAACGTACACCAAAAATCCAAACAAGACATCTAATTAGCTTACAACTGCATATTTTCAGACTGGCATACGAAAGCACATTCAACAACAAACACAACTTAATTCTTCTTTAGCAAAAAAAATGTACCCAAATAACACAGCTTTATGTAAATACATCTACACACACAAACCAAACACACAAACACCACACACAGACACACACACAAACAAACGCCACACACACGTTTACATGCACAAGTACGCACATGCACACATACACACACGTACACATACAGACAAACAAATATTAAAACATATTTATGTTAACATACTTAGCCGAAGACTCGTTCTCAGTCTAGTATCTGGTCCTTGAATATTGTTGCAACTATTTACCAGGTTAGTATTGCTACTAATTGCTGTAGTATTAATACTAAAAATGCTACTATTAGTATTGTTGTTGATGTTGTTAGTAGTAGTACAGTTATTCCGTTTCCCACCGACATTATTATTATTGCTGTTGTTGTTGTTATTTGTTATGACATCAACATTATTAATAACATTATTATTATCACCAATGTTATCACTGATTCTGCTGGGTTTGTTTTGACTGCTGTTTATATTCTTGTTGTTGTTGTTGCTGCTGCTACTGTGGTGGTGAATGACTTCACTGCTGCTGCTGTTGTTGTGGTGGTGGATGACGTAGGCAGCAGGGCCACTGTTAGACTCGGGTGTGGCCGCGCTCATATCGACTCTATGAGGTAGGGCATCTTGAAACATGAGGCGACAGACTTCGTCGTCATCATCGTCAGAGCTTGAGGCAGATAAATATTCAGTTAGTTCGTGATGAGGGTGCGGGTGGAGGAAAAGATGGTGCTGCTGAGGCTGAAGATGGCGATGGTGGAAAGGGTGGTGGTGGTTACGACGGTTGTGCTGCTGCTGCTGCTGTTGTTGTTGTTGTGGCGACTGGAGGTTATTAGTACTATTTGAAAAACTGATAAAATTATTTATATTGATTTTGTTGTGAATGTTAATGATGACGTTGTTGTTGTTGTTGCTGCTGCTGATGCTTACGTCATCATCATTATCGTCGTTACTGGAATAACTTTTGTTGACGTCATTGTCGTAATCCATGTCTGCCTCGTCGTCATCATCGTCCCAATCGTCTGAAGGAGGTGTCGGTGGAGCTGAAAATATGGGGCTACCACAGGAAAACGTTGGCAGTAGTGGTTGCTGCTGCTGTTGCTGCTGCTGTTGAATGAGACGGTTGATTGGATATCTAACAAAATTGTTGCCGTTAATGTTGAGATTGTCGTTGACGAGATTATTATTATTGTTGTTGTTGTTGTTGCTTGTTAGAACATTATTGTAGTTTATGTTAACAAACAATGTGTTGTGGCTGCTGCAGCCGAGGTTGCTACTGCTGCCGCTGCTGTTTATCTTTAACGTTTTGACACCTGAGATAGCTTCACCAGTTCCTGGGGAAAACAGCGGACGGGTGAACAAATTTCTCGCAACAATGCTGTTGCTGCTGTTGTCGTTGGATGAGGCAACTAAAAACCTTGAGTCAGAATGACTTGTGGAGTTTGTCGTTATGGCAACATTCGGCGGCACGTTATTATTATCAGTTTTCAACAAACTGCAGTTATATCTCGTTAAAATATTACGACTGTGGCTGCTGTCGTTGCTGCTGTTGCTACTACTACTGCTAACTAAACAACCACCATTGTTTATTGTTGTAATAACGTCACTGATTATGCCACTGCTGGCATTCATTGAAACGCTACTACAGTTGCTTGCGGTTTTGCTGACAGTAATATTGCTGCTGCTGCTATTTGTGTTAACGTGGCTGTGGTTATTGTCAGCCGTAGGGCCTGCAACAGGTTCTCTTTTTCTCGTGAACAACCCACTTAGTAATTCTCTCTCACCAGATGATCGTCGCACGATGTGGTAACTGCTGCTGCTACCGCTGCTGCTACCACCACTCATCATCATGAACTGCAAGTTTCTGTCAACAGCTGTGTTTGTGGAATGAGAATAAGAAATATAATATGATGAAAAAAATGGTGATGGTGGGTGAGGTGATAATGAAAATGTAGTAGCATTGATGATGAAGCGATGATGAAAATGATGATGAAGATGAATTTGTTGATGCTGTGAATGTTAGAATGATAGCAGGAAATATTTATTTTTTCATCTTTTAAGATGTTTATAAACGACTGTACAAGAAATTTCATTTCTCTATAAATCTTACTTATCAGTAGTATATGAGTGTGAACATGGCACCATCATCATCTTCGCCACCACCATCATTATCACCATCTTCGTCACCATCATCATTATCACCATCATCGTCATCACCAATTGCATTATACAACCAACTGCATCATCATCACAATCATTATCATCATTAATACTCATAATATCCAAAA